CTGTGTTTTCGCTCTTAGCCTTGCTGACGATAGAAAAATGCGAAGATTGAAGTTCAATTTGGATTTGTGAAGTACTCCAAGATCTTCGACTGAAAATAATAATTACAATGGTTCCTTATCAATCGTATAAGTGATTTTGATCTTGAACTTAAATTTCAGCAATAAAGTTAGGTCGAAATGTTTAACTAAACACCTTAGCTCCATGAAGTTCAGATCTTTTCGACAAATATGATAAAGAGAATCTTTATACGAAAGAGTAAGATTTACAAGATAGAAACATATTGAGTCAGTATATCCCTTATCAACTTTGTTGCGGATCTATTTCTTATACCATTCATTGTAGCGAGTTGACGATGCCTCGGGAAGAAATAAAAATACTGCTTCAAATCTAGTGTGTGGATTAAGCTTACTCTAGAAACTATCCTGGTTCTTCTATTTACTTAATGATGTACGAACATGATTTCTGGAATATAATGCTCCACTGTGCGGCGATTGTGGCAGCGGCAGCTGCATAAGCAGCAAAGTAGGTGGCAGGAGTGGGTGCGTTGGGACAATGGCTGCGGCAAGGACGTCGCCATCAGCCACCATTCACCCTCAGCTAGTGCTCCAACCCCGCACCTTCATCAGCACATGTAACGATAAAACTTGAAAATGCTGTTAGCTACAAAATTTGTTGTCAGACTTTGTCGGCGTGTTGTGCGTGGAGCATAGAGCGTATAGCGTTGCATGTTGCATGTGGCATGCGGAATAGCATGCAGATTTGGGCTGCACTAATTCGCAGCACAGCATGCAATATGCAGACGTCGTTGGGCTATGCTTGCTATGGCGGCAGTTAGTGAGTCAATTTATATGTAGTATATCCTATCCACGCCCCTTACCTTTTCAGCAAACCTGCTTCTGATGCCATAAAACACGCATTGCTCGTTGTCTGCCTGTGCGTTTGCAATTTATGCCATGCATTGAATCCAAAGTGCCGAAAATCCAATACATTCAAATCGTACGCTCAACTCAGAGGTGCGTTCTTTCGGCTTAAACTGATTCAGAAAGCCAATTTCAATATTGAAGCCAACGTAGTTCTGTTGGCTTGCTTAAGCATATTAGTCCACAATAATAGTAGACTTTGTTGATTTCCAATGGGGAACTACTATCCCACTCTAGTGCAAACATCCTGCAAACGACAACTTTCGACACCTTTCCTTATATCCAGTCCACATTCATTTTCATTTATGTCTAAGTTTACAGATGTGCTGAGCCAATTAAAATAAAAGCGCAAACACTCCCCTATTTAGTCACAATCTGGTAATGCTACCATGGAATCTCTTATTTGTCATCAACTGTTTCTCCTTTTTTCAAGCCATTTGGGAGTAGAATGCTTTAATGTTAGTAACTGCTTTCTTACTGTCTAACTTATACCTTACCAATATAACAATCACTCACAACTTACAGAACCAAACAAATAAGATCTTTTAAGTACACGAAATACTTTTATAAAATTTTATATTATTTATGTATATTTTGTATATGAATGGGTAAGGCAATAAAGTAGAGAGTCAAAGTTTTTCAGCGCAGGTCATTAATTTATTACTATTAATATTAAATAAAATGTTTCTCATAATACTTACATATATAAGTAGTATGGGTATACCGGTTCATAAATTGGAATTTTTGCGAGTATATTGAAATTCAATTTACAATTTAATCAACTACTTAAGGATAGTTAGAGATCTTGTTCAATATAAGGCATATTTTCTTTCAATTATCTTAGGTATATAACTAACCAACGGCTTTCGGATTATATAAGTAATATTTATTATTTCATATAGAAATAATACATTTTAAGCCGATAGTATTTTGAATGCACTGGTTCATAATCAAAAAGACAAAATGGGACCTTCGCGTCTCCAAAAAATCATGCATCACAATTTTGCATTATTTACAATGAGCACGATGGTTCATTTGGTCTGCAATTATTTGACGAAATCACACAGAACTGTGCACAACTCTCTCGTTCGTGCGGGGCATTTCGAGGGCATCGTAATTGTAAATTATTTACAGCATACTTTTCAGCTGCGCCCATGATGTTTGCTGATTTGTAATAAGTGCGATGCGGCCCAGCGACAAACCTAATTACAGTGGCAGACACGCCCTTCTTTCCTCCGCCCCCCTTAGCCTTCTACCTCCGTCAGTGCTTCATGACATAATGGCCGCTTTATCAGCTCGTTTGGTTGCACACACTCTCTTATACTCGTACACACACAAATTGCTGTCTATTGAGTTAACCATTGATGGCGTCCAACTGCAATACTGCAACATGCAGCAAAGTTCTGTTCCATACCGCCTAAAAGGCACGCGATACACTTACACACACACACATATATGCACCACACCCATAACTTTGACTGCCTGCGAATTGCGACAACTGACTTTTCAACTTGAGCGCCGGCTTCTGCAGCTTGTTGTTGTTCCTGTCACAAAAAGCGGCAAGTGGACAACAGTGCCACACGAAAAATCGAAAAAAAAACTAACGTCCCTCCTTTCTCCACGTAACCCGTGCCTGGCAGGCCACACAAAATATTGTGCAATGCGCTGCCAAACTACAAAACCCATAATATCGAACGTTGCTGCAGTTTCTTGGTAGTTCATACAGCCAGGCCTTGCTATAACCAACATTTTGAGTAAAATAATTGAAAAAAGAAGAATAGAGCTTAAATATTTCATATATTTTTTTAAATAAAAAGCCATTTGTCCATATTAAAAGCGATCTAAGTATATTCACTGCGTTTAATTAAAAATAGCCTAATCATGATGTAACGACTAAATTACTGAAAATTTTTTGAAAAATTAAGTACGATCATTTACAGTCGGACAATTGGTTCGAAGTAGCTTGAACATTTTGAACGTCACCAAGCAAATTGTCCAATATCTCAAGCAAATTTATAATAGATTTTTCACATATTCGCTCCAAAGATAGTGTAAGCCAAGTTGAAAACTTTAAAACATTTTAAATTGCAGTGTCTTCATTTGATTAGGAAATACAACATCATTACTTACCTAATATTAATATATTTAATGATTTGTTAGCTTAAAGAGCAAGTATTCATTGCAAATCTGTTTGTTTAAACAGCAATTTTTAATTCAATACAAATATAATTCAAGCACTTTTGAAAACCCAGCATACAAAGGTAAAAAAAAAAATGGTATTTATCTAATAACAAATTTTGAAACATCAATAAACAATGTGTAATTACCTAAAATAAAGCCTAAATAGGATCGATACAAGACCTTTAGAGGCACTATCGACTGTAGCTTACCAGTTGGTCGTTGATATCGTAGTAGTTGGTTGTTGGCGCTTGTCGTAACGGCCAAATGCGTCTGTTTTATTTTACTTTTGCATATTTTTTGGCGTGTGTTTCAACTGCCGCAGCGCTGTCTCTACATTTTTCAAGTTGTCTGCGTTTGACGTGCACGGATGGGCAGCGAAGCGCGTTGGCGGAGCCGGTGATGTGCGGTGCAGGGAGGGGCGAGTATCGAAGGGATGTCGCCTTCGATGTCGACCGCGTTGGCGTAGTTACAGTTCGCTCCTGTGTGCGGTTGTGGTTCGTTGCTTGGTTATCGCCACGGCCACTACTCACAAGCATAACCCCGCAGCTGCATAGAACTCCAAAAAGCAACCCCAGTACTGTCTGTCCTGGGTGCCTGAAAGCCCGAAAGCCTGGCAGCCTGGCCGCCTGGCCGCCTGGCACCCTGGCAGCTATGCCTTTTGGCCCGCCTGTGAGCCTGTTTTTTAGTGCCTTCCGTAACCATTAAATTTTACGTTTTTATTAGCGCGCGCACACGTTTTAAGCTAGACAGGGCCCCTCAGCCAGCTGGCCGCCCCTACTCATCCCTACTCCCCACACCACTACAACAATTTTTGAATATTTCCGTTTGGCTGGCCCTTGCTTGCTTCGGTTTGCCTACCAAATGCAGTTTTGCATGCCGTCCGAAATGGCAGCAAAAAGCCAAAAAAGTCCAAGAAACAATAATAAGTAGCAACGAAATGAAATAAGTGGCAAAAGGCAAGCAACAACACGAAAAATAACAGAAACCGTCAGAAACAAAAGAATTCGAGTAAAGCTGAATAGCGGTAGCAGTGGCGTAAGTCTACTTTGCACGGATTATTTTAAAACCTTGCACAAATTATAAAACGTTCCAAATACATATTCAAAAATAATTAATGAAGAAAACTTAAATATCTCCACCGCAATCCTAAACTAATTTTCTTCATTCATAGAAGACAAGAAAGTTAACTTGATAGGTTTAAGTACAATTATTGGAAAATGTATATGAAACTATACAAATTTTCAAAATACATTTTCTACGAAAAAATTTGTCAGTTTATAAGCTTACGTGTATAGTTGTTAGTAAATGTCGTAGTTTTTTATTATATGTATTTTAGTTACCCTTTTTAAAGTTTTGTGATTGTCTGACTACCGCCTAAGAATGGCGGAGAGGTAAACCGTTTCCAACTGGCTGTTTATCTTATCAAGAATGCACAAGTCCCAAAAGCGATTTCGAAAAATATTGTTCGTATCATTAGCTGTTGAAATAGTGGCAGCATAGACTTGACTAGAAGTAAATAATATATTTTAATATATTACTTAATAATATGCCGTTGACAATACAGTAGTATATGGTTGTTGGCAACATGTTGTGTGAAGTAACTGTTGCCGTTGCCGTTGCAGTTGCTGTTGCAATTGTGGGCGTGTGGCGGTCAAAAGGATACAACAAAACATCCCCTATGTTTGAGCAACTTTTTGCTCAAACAAGTCAGCTCAATCATATAGCGGGTAAGTTGCCCCAACACGTTGCGACTGTTTGCACCCAACATCATCCACAAGGTTGCAGGGGTGGTGGGTCAACTAAAAAAAAGAACTCTTATACTTGAATTTTCACTCAATGCTTTGAGAAAGTGCGCAAAATGTGAGCACAGACTTCGAATACATTTCATTCACACATTTTCGGCAAACACAGCAACATTCCAAATTCTAAAGAAATAAATCGGAACTGTCCGATACCGATAATAGCAGTAATATCAACAGCACAATTTACTCTCACAGCCTCAGTACATCATGAACTTATTGCGGAAGCTACGAGCCACCTTCAATGAGTTTTTCTATCACAACTACCCTTTCATCTCCATCTGCAGTTGCTCCGTTGCCATAATCACTGCCTATTTGCACTATGAATGGAAGGTGCATAAATATGATCTGATGTACTGGAAACAAGTTACCGAGTCCTGCTCTCACGACATTGATTACTTCCAACTACTCATCCTTTTGACTATTCTGTTCATCAATGTAATATTTGTTGGAATTGTTGTCACTGTCTATCTGCATCCGCTGGCTGAGACGGCCGAGCTGACGCTGCTTGAGATTAAGGATCGCTATGCTCGCTTCATACTCCTGCGCCTGATTGCGCGTCTCGATCGTGTTCATGGCAAGTTGTCCTCGAAGCGAAGGCGTCTTACCTTCCAGCATTATGCCCGTGCCCACAGTAACATGGTTAAGGCAGTCGCGCTTTTTCGCAAAGATGCGCGCAAGTTAATATTACCAAACGAGTCTGAGATCGTGCTGCCCATAGAAGAGATCTATGGGGTGACCGAGGACGAAGAACGAGCGCTTCGAAGAGGCGGCTACTACAAGCTGCCAATTGACACAACGGATGAAGCGGTGAGGAGCCTTTTTAATCCGAAATAAAATCTGTGATAAAATAAATAAAAAAGGTGGTTCCGATTTAATGTTTATCCAGTCTTTTTAAACAATTTTAATTATTAACACTCTAGCATTGACATTAACATATAAATCCATAGGAAGCATGTTGAATTGAATACAAAATACTTACAATTCAACTTACGCCCTATTCCAACTATTTCCAACTTACAGAATTAGTGGAAAAATAGTTCTATAGCAAAATGAAAAGAAAAATCTGTTACACAAAATAACAGGTAACAGGTATTGCCGTTATACAAAATAACATATAAACAAATTTCAATCTTCTCACATAATCAAACTAATCAATGAATAGTAATGAAAATATGTAAAGTAAAACCCTAATTATGTTTGAGAACACTAATATAAATTCGATTTCGATTGATTTACAAGAAATCAAATAAGATTTACAATTATCTCCCAGCCCAAAAAGAAAATTCCACTCCCTGCATACGATAAAGGCGACGCCAGAAAGTAGGCAACATCATTTGTTAGCCAAAAAGGCAACGCCTGCATCAACACCAGACCGCCCTGTAATTGCTTTTATCTGCTGCTTTTAAAGTCATTTTATTGTTGCAATTGTTGCTTGCGGGCGCTTTTGTCTCTCAGACACACACACACACACACACACACACACACACAAATACTCACACATACGTAAACATACACACGTACAAAGGAGACATTGCAGAAACTGCAGATACTAGCACTGAGGCTTTTTATATTCGCATTGTGCGCCAGCTAACAATAACAACCAAGTCGTCGTCGCCACCGTCGCCTCTGTTGTAGTCAGCAGGACAACAAAAACAACAGAACAACTGCTAAAACTAACTAAAATGCCATGTCTGCAGCTACAAACAATATCTAATGTTGTCTACGGCAAAATATTTTTGTTGCGTCTTTTGCCATGCCTTTTGTTTTTCCCCAGCTTGTCGTGCCTTTAATATTAGCTAAAAGCCAAATAAATTCAAGCCAGAGCAAATTTCTGGCTGGTTAGCAGCTGGCAGTCTTCAAAGCTTTCTGCGCTTCGCTGCATCCAAAAACCGAAGGAAAGAAAAATAGGCGCACTTTTTGCTTCATCCTTCGATCGAAGGTTCAAAGTGACTGCCTAATTTCAGTTAATGCGTTGTGGCCATGACTCATGATTCAAATTACACATACGCTACGTTGCGCTCCATACTTGTTCGTTTATGCCTTTATTCGTTCGTTCATACTGGGCAGTCAGTCAGTCAAAATGGCAAACTGCATTACTTCATTTTTTCCCACTTTTTGCTGCTGAAAAAGACATTAAGTAGATTATAGTCTGATTGCATATTTACGGATATGCGCGCCATAAACACGTATGTACCAACGTGCTGCAGTCGCGAGCATGTGCCGAGCGCAACAGCCGAAAACATAGCACCAAAAAAAAAGATGAACATGAAAACGTACGCGCTTCTAACCGCAGACAAAATGACGCCCGTTGGCATTTCCCTTGCCTTTGCTGTTCGCTTTGGCTTTGGCTTTAGCTTTTGCTTTGTCCTGGCCAATACCGAAGAAAACAACAAAGCGGAAACAGTGAAATTTTTAAGCATACATGCACACACTCGCGTACGTGGCGAGTATGTGCTTGAGTGTGTGTTGGTCGGGCCATAAACCCAAATAGCAGCTATTACTTTATCGCCCCAACAACGCGCCACCAAATGGCTGTCTATTGCAGCTAAATGCTACTGCCTTGCTTTGTGTGTGTGTGCTTGTGTGGGTTTAATACTGCGCTGGTAATGCTTTCAGGTAAGAGCAGCAAAAACAACAGAAAAGAAGCTGAAGACAACGGCAAGCAATAAACGAATAATCATAAATAATGGTTTTTAAACAGCGCACTCTAAATTAGCATTAATTGGCAATGCTGTTGTTGCTGTGGTAGTTGCCAAACTACACTCATTTTTATATATATCTTGATGCTCTTCACTTTAAAATCCATTACGTGGCTAGCAAATTAACTATCAAGCAATGATAATAACAAGGTATACAACAAAATGTATTTTGATTTGATTAACCACTAAAAAATCACATTAATCATACATTTTGTACATTTGATTAGAGCAACGATATTATTTATAATCGTTCCAAGCAGTTAAATGCCGTTCCAAGCAGTTAAGTGCCGCTATTAAATATTAAACCTAATCCAGCGCAAAATTGAATTTCGATTGTAATTAATATTTGTTCGCCCTTTTAAAACAACAATTTTAATTAAAACAATAAAAGAACTGATTGCATTTGTCAGAATTGATTATATGCATACACGTTTTGGGGAAATACATATTGACATTAGTGTACGTACGGTTATCTCAAATCCCCAGCGCTTCAATTAGGCTTGCAAATGTCTTGTACAAAAACATTAGCATACTTATGTGCGCGCCATTGCAATCAGGAGTACCGTGAAAGGAGAGCCGACCATGTTTGATTTGATTTGATTGCCATGCATGATAAGCACAATGGCATGCATGAGCAATGCTACAAGCAGCTCCAATTCCAACTCACACACACACACACACAAATATACACTAACACAGCCACAGACAGAGACGAAACGGGAGAGACATTACTGCATGCATTGTATTTGGAACACGACTTCAATCAGCTATGTAAAATCTATATAAAATATTTATGTTAAACAGAGACTGCTCTGCTTGCCAGTGGCATAATCATCGAGGGTGTGCATGTGGCAAGCAAATGTCATTTGCATACACATTGTTGCACCCGCACACAGACACACACTCGCACACACATGCCCACAAAGGATGAAAATGCTTATGACATTTTGATTATTTATTTAGACTAAAAACTGTTGCAGGGCCAACTAAAATTCCTTTGAAATTAGTTTGCTTAAGAGAGAGAACCCTTCAAAATTATTAGTAAATAAGTAAGCATGCAAGTAAACAAAAATGCTGCAATAACAACAACAAGAGTAGCAACAATATGCGTGGCAGAGCAGGCGGCAACTAGGCAAGCAAACACCACTTGAGCTCGAGTTGCCACAGTTGAATATGTGTGTGTATTGCTTTGTGTATTCTAAAATCTATCTGTGTGCATATCTACATGGATATCAACATGCAGCTGCACTTACCCGACAACTTTGTGCCACAAGCTGTAGTTGCCCAAAATGAAATTGCCTCGGCTTTATGGCATAAGTAAATTTAAGCAAATAAATATGCATGTCCATATACAAATGTACATTTGTGTACATGTGTGTGTGTGTGCTTGCTTGTTTTCTAAGCTTGTGCATGCATCATTTTTGGTTCGTCCGTTTTGAATTTTTCGTAGAGATTGCCACAGAAAATTGGCAATTGTGGTCAATATAAATCACTTAAAATTTTTGCCAAATAAATACGAAGAGCCACAAATTCAGGGTTAACTTGTTTGTAAACTACAGTAAAAGTCAGCATATATATCAGAAAATAAAACGAATGCATAGAGAAATGTATTTAGGTTCCACTTTTCTTTTAGTATTATCGTAATTGGCGTAAAATCCGAAAAAATCACAAAAGGATTTTTATAAACGAATTTGTTTGCATGCGATTCAGTAGCGCACTCAGTTGAGGCGAAAAATGGAAGCAAAAGCCAATTCATTGAAAACTTCTAATGTGATTCTAATGAAAAATGTTAAAATTTATAAATAAATAATTTGTTGCTAATATTTTATATATTCTATATGAGCAAAAAATTATTTAGTCCATCAATTCAATTCTTACTATTGCTTTGTTATTTAAATCTAAGAACATTGAGTATTATTTCAAGAAACATGGATGCACTAGCAGCTGGATGTATATAGCAGCTTTAATATCCTTGAAAGCTTATTCATAGAAACAAATATGGACAATTTTTCAATTTCTTAGGAAGCAGCAGTGGCAGCTAAAATTTAAGTCACATATGCAAAATGAAAACTTGTGCATACAAGCTGAGCTAACTACACGCTAAACCCAAACACATACACACACACATACACCTACCCAAAACACTGATGGTCGGACAAACAGACAGGCGGGCGAACAAAGTGTCGTATGCGTAACGCAAAACTTAGCCATGCGTAAATGGATGCTTGGCAGCCATAAGTGCATGCACACACTTACATATACGAACATATGTACATACCCAACAGCGCAAAATTGCAAGTTTTGACTATAAAGCTACTGCACTAGGCTTTTAAGTCAATTTCATTGCCTTACAAATGCTAGAGATATTCTATACTTAGAGCATAATATCTGAAAAACAGCTCTAAACAATGCCATTTGTAAACGGTTAGTAATTGTATATCTATATCAATTATTAGTATTTCTTTAAATTTTAATGGGAATACTCTATAATACAGACTAAGAAAGACCAATCCAGTTCGAAAATACAAAAGTAGGCAGTTCCAATATACTTATCTGCAACGATAGTTACAAAACTGTTACACACTAAAAAGCCATCGAAGCATTTACTCAAAAGAAATTATTCCCTCATTTTACATTATTATTTTGTATTTAAATTGTGCACCCTTAAAGTAAATTGATATTTTTAAATTACTTATATTTATAGCAACCTTGACTTTAATTTGAAGACAAAATATGTCCTTTTTAAGTAAAATAGACTTACACAGGCTGAAAATAATAAAATACATATTACTTTTATATAATCAAGACAGGTTTTTTTTTATACATAGTACGACACAGTACAGGATTACAGCTATGTGTATAGAATGCATAAAAAATCTTATTAATATATGACTTGAAACTGTATAGACTAGTTTAGCTATAATTGGGATATTATTATGGGATATTATGGGATAAGACGAACAATTTCAGGCGTTCATTTCGCTACAGCATTTTTAAGATTGTGCTCTCGACCCAATCAATTTACGTTGTAACACTGCGAACAAATATAAGACAAATACTTATTAGTCAGCTATACCTACTTGTAGTTCGGTAGTGGTTCGTACTTACTTCGTAGTGAGATTGGCCGCAGGGCCTATTATGTATACACAAGTAATGCAGCAACAAAACATGATAACAATTAA